GGGGGACTTGCCTTTTTGGAATTTACAGTCTCGGCTTTTAGGGAAGGTTTTTACATTTGTCTGTGGATTGTTTGATTTCTTAACTGCTTGTTAACTTGATTTCTTAACTCCCATGTATGTTGATTGTGTATACAAGCAAAGTGAAGTCTTTGACGACTTCAGTCTTTTTTCTATGTATCAAGCAAAATCAAGTGTTTGGCAGCTTTAGTCTTCTCTCCATGTTTCAAAATGCTATTTAGTGCTTCAGTTGTGAGAATTTTGCATTATTGACATTGAGGTGCAATCCATCCTGAAGGCTGTAGTCTTTGATCTTCATTAGTAAGTATTTCAAGTCCTCTTTGCTTTCCCCAAGCAAGACTGTGTCATCTGCATATTGCAGGTTGTTAATGAGTCTTCCTCCAATCCATATGCCATTGTTCTTCTTCATATAATCCAGCTTCCCAGGCTGCTTAGCATACAGATTGAATTGTTGTTGTTAAGTGCTATTTAGTTGTTCTGATTCATAGAAATTCTGTATAAGGTTTTGAGGGGCAACTTGTGAGTTTGAACTGCTAACTTTGTAGTTACCAGTTCAATGCTTATCATACAGCGCCACAACAGGATGGAATATATATGGTGAAAGGATACAACACTGGCACACACTTTTCCTGATTTTAAACCATTGTGTATCCCCTTATTCTCTATGAATGGCTGCCTTTTGGTTTATGTACAAGTTCCTCATGAGCACAATTAAGTATTCTTGAATTCCTATTCTTCACAATGTTATCTAGTTTGTTATGGTCCATGCAAGAAAATGTATTTGCACAGTCAATAAAGCACAAGTAAACATCTTTCTGGTATTCTTTGTGCTTAGTTAAAATCCATCTGAACTCAGCAATGAGATCCCTAGTTCTATGTGCTCTTCTGAATCTGACTTGGATTTCTGGCAGCTTCCTGTTGATGGACTGTTGCAAATGTTTTTGAATTATCTTTTTCATGTGTTATTCTTGATATTGTTCAATGATTTCTCCATTTCATTGGGTCATTGTTCTCTGAAATAGGCACAGATATGGATCTCTTCTAATCAGGCGATTTTCCAAATTTCTTGGATTAGACGAGTGAGCACCTCCAGTGCTGCATCAGCTTGTTGAAATGTTTTAATTTATGTTCCATCAATTCCGGGAACCATTCTTTTTACTAATGCCTTTAGTGAAGCTTGGATTTATTCCTTCAATACCACTGGTTCATGATCATATGCTACTTCTTGAAATGGTTGAACATCAACCAATTATTTTTAGTACAGTGACTGTGTATTCTTTTGATGCTTCCTCTATCATTCAATATTTTGCTCAGAGAATCTTTTAATATTGCCACCCAAGGCTTGAATTTTTTTTTTTTTTCTTTCATATTGAGAAATGCCATGCATGTTTTTTTCTTCCCTTCTAGCTTTCCCATTCCAGGTCTTTACACATTTTATTGTAATACTTGACTTTGTCTTCTTGAACTGCCCTTGGAAATTTTCTGTTCAGTTTGTTTACTTCATCGTTTCTTCCAGTCACTTTAGTTTCTCTGTGGCCAAGAGCAAATTTCAGTCTCTTCTGATATCCATATTGATCTTTTTTTCTTTCTTGTAATTTTAATGACCTTTTCTTTTTTCATGGATGATGTTCTTGATGTCATCCCACAACTCTTCTAGTCTTTAGTCATTAGTGTCTTATTCATCAAATATGTTCTTGAGATGATCTCTAAAATCATGTGGGGTATAGTTATGGTCATATTTTAGCTCTTGTAGAGTTGTTTAATTTCCTTCAGCTTCAGCCTTAACTTGTATATGAGCAATTGATGGTCCATTCCACAGTCTGCACCTGGCCCTGTGTGTCTGACGATGTTGAGCTTCTCCATTGTATCTTCCCACAGATGTAGTCAATTTGATTTCTGTGTATTCCATCTGATGAGTTCTACATGTATAGTTGCCATTTGTGTTGTTGAAAACTTCATTAAGAAGACAAAGACTAAAAAGTCCTTGTGTATCTTGGAAGAGTCTACATTATGAAGCTAAGGGACTCTGTTTCCCAATCCCAAAAGACCAGTGAATCTTTCGTGTTAATTCATTCAATAATGCTTTCAACAAATATTTGTTAGGCAACTTCTAGATGCCCAGTACTTTCTAAGTCCTGTAGATACAACAACAAAAGATACCAAGCTCCTGTCCTCTTAAAGTTTCCTTTCCAATGCAGATGACAAGGTAATCAATCAATAAAATAAAATAACATTAAATTAAATAACATCTATTATAGTAGCT